TGTGTCAGAAGGCTAAAACACCTAAGTAATGTTAGATACCCCTGATTTTTTTAATGAATAATTAGTTATAACTTATAAAAAGTTAAATAAAAAAAGATATTGGACCTTAAGTATATTAGGAAAGACTTCTAAGAAAGGTAGTTTTAATTTAAGAAGAAGCATCTATGTTCAAACACTCCAATTTCTATATAATTATTTATATCAGAAAGTATGAAAACTGGAAGATCAATCAGTGTTGAAGATTAGAAGACCATGATTATTAGGCCATTGAAAGATTTAGGAGAAATGACCTGCTGAAGTGACTACAAATTAGTGAGACCAATTTCTATAGGACATGATTGAAAATTAATCTCCTTAGTTTATAAACCTTAGATATCATTTAATTATAATATATGTACATATTTGACAGACAGAAGAGTGATTGGTATAGGAGTAAGTACTCTCGTGAGTTTCACATGTCAAAAGAAACAAATGACATGCAAATAGAAAAAGAAAATCTATAATCCTGAACATGACATACAATGCTACATTCTACTACTAAATAATATGCTTAGAAAGAAATTCTCTGACAGGTGACACTAAATCGAGATTCATTCAAGTCATCACTAGGAGCAGAGGAAATCCTTCCCTTTCCCCTTTCCTGTTCCTTTTTCCATTTTGTGTTTTAGGATATTTCCTAAAGGAAACTGGATTCTCTCTGTAACATCTTTTCTTCTTTGCATGAAATAGATGTGGGCAAGTTTTGGAAATTCTGGTATGGACTTCAAATAATTACAACAGAGAAGCTTTCTCAGGCATATATAAAAGTCTTATAATTTGATAGCACTGCTCATTTAAACACTTCTTCCACCACCCTAAATAATATATTTTAATTGAGCTGCATTGAATTTTCATATTTTATATTTGATTCCTTACTACTAAATGTGATTTTATGAACCATGAAACTACTATTAGGAAATCCTAGGATGGAAACAGAGCTGCTTGTGCCTGGGTAGGCTGAATTTTAGCCATACTACCCGAGTGGTTAAAATTACCTAACTTGGAACAAAATAGATGTTAAAAATTAATTTTCCTTGGGAAGTTATAGCTACATGCAGAGTTACATACATGTGTGTTTCCTTCACCTCTCTCCCAAAGCTGTATAGATATACACTGTTGCTTTTTTTCTGAAGGGAAATGGGGAAATGGTAATAACCCACTTTAAAGTTTGGCATTTTCCAAAGTTCACCTGGGTCAACCTGGTTTAGTTTTGTACTTACTGAAATTAGACATGTACACTATTCACAAACATATATGTAATATGTACATACTATATGTATGTAATATATGCGTGTATATATGTGTGTATGATGGTGTCGGAACAGGGAGAAAAAAAGAAAAACTTTTTTTTTGATAATGAGGCCAAAATGTCTTTGTTTTATAATGTGTACTGTAGGAATAAAGAACCTGAACAATATTGTTTAAGTTCTCTCCGACTTTGAGGATAAATATAATTGGGATTAAAACACTGACTTGCTCACATTTAGTAGAAAGATAAGAACGATTGATTGGGAGCTATTCCGGTCCCACTAGTAATCACTAATTGAGTAGGGTTTTTAGAGGATATTTGAAGCTATTGTTGTCTGTTGTGCTTACATAATTAGGATCTCTGTAATAAAATCTTTCTCAACACAGGTGGGTTAGTATTAAGTAAATTTAGGGCGGGTGTTATATTTTTACTTTTAATACTTCAGTTTTAGATCAGAATTATAGAACTTGATTTAACCGTTAAACATTGTTTTACCACACTACAGATGCTTAAATCGCAAAATAACTGCATTACTTGAAAACTAAGCAAAAATTACATAAAGTTTAAAAAACACTCATCCAAACAGCTTTATGAACATGAACCCGCCAGCAACATCTCACCTAGAGTGTTTACTTCTGGGCTGCATATTCCTTTGGGGTTATTTCTTCAGTGAATAGTGTGAAAGTCGCTCAGTCGTGTCCGACTCTGCGACCCCATGAACTACACAGTCCATGGAACTGTCTAGGCCAGATTACTGGAGTGGGTAGCCCTTCCCTTCTCCAAATTATTTCTTCAACCTACCCCTGAATTATTGACATTTATCTGCATGCCTATAAATAGTGTTCTGGTTGTTTTGCTTTAATGATAAGGCTAGGCAGTGAGGAACACTTCAGAATTCCTTTTACAACGAAACAAACGTGGCCTGGCAAACGGGACTCCGCAGCCCGGCGTCAAGTAGGGAAGAGCACCAATCCCGTCCCATTATTATTTGGTGACGCGTCTCCCGCGGCGGCTCGGCCAGGCTCGGCTCTCGCGCACGCCCGCGGGGAGGCCCCAGAGCGCGGGAGCACAAAGGCGCGCGGAGCCCGGCGGCCCCGCAGACTGGCTGGCGGCACAAAGAGCCGCGCCGCCACTCGTGAGGGGCCCCCGCGCCGCGCAGCCCGCCACACCCACTCGGGCCCGCTCCCGCCTCCGCTGCCGCGGGCGCCCTGATGAATATGCATCGCCGCGCGCCCGCCCCCGGCTCCTCCTTTCGGTTTCCTTCCCGCCGCCAGGCGGAAGCGAAGAGCCGCGCTTCCCGCGCGCCGAGCCGGCCTGGCTGGGGCGGGGCCGGAGAAAGAGAAAGCCGGGGAGGCGGCGGCCGCAGAGCGCGGGCCGGGCCGGGCGCGGAAGGGGTGCGCGGATGGCCGGCGGTTCCGGGGTAGCGCCGCCGGCGGCCCTGAGGCTCCCAGGGCGGGGAAGAGGAGAGCGCGCGACCTCCCGGCCGCGCCGGGTGCATCAGCCTTAGCGCGTTGCGAGCCCGGGCGGGGAGGCAGCCCTCACCCCCGGAGCGGCCCTGCTAAAACAACAATAAAACCCACCACGCACAGTCGCGCACGCACGTACACACACACAAACACACACCCGGCACTCTGGACGGCTTTCAAGTCAAGCTCACGTCTTCTCCAAGTGAGAGGAAGCAAAGTGGAAATCCAGACAGGCTGAGGGGTTGCCTGTTTTTAGACTTGACTTTTACCGCCTTTTCTTCTTCGGGCCAGGAATTGTGGCATCGCAGAAATTATCGTTAAAAACAAAAGTAAGAGCCTACTCCTGGATTGCGCTCTTAAAAAACAAACCAACCAACCAAAAGCGACACTAAAACAACTCTTGAGAAAAATCCACAAATCTGTACCTATGTGAAGTCAGCGGGCCAGGGTTCTGTTATAAACTTAACATCTCTTATTTATTGCAATAGAATGCGGTGGTATGTAGCTTTGAAATGAAGGATTTTATTTGCTTGTCTTATTTGTCTCTTGCATCCCTTTCTATTCCCAGACACAGATTTTTTCCTCTTTGTACATTGTAAAGAGAACCTAAATGTCATTTCTGCTTTACCGGTTGAGCCATATGTTGGATTTTCAGCCCTAATGCTTAAAAAAAAACAAAAAAAAAAAACTTTGTCAACCTTAGTGTACATGCCACACTTTTATGATGGGAATCCGTGGATAACACTGTAAATCCAAAACAGTGTGAAATGTAGCATTTTCCCTGCTTCATCTCCCTAACCCTCTTCCCCATGATGGAAAAAATTACTGTACAAATGATACTTTAGTTGTACCTTGTAGTCCATTCTTTTCGGAGCACTCTTTTCTTCCCTAAATTGAATATGCACAGATTTGTTACATCTTCTCACTTAAAAATGTATTTATTTAGCTCTGATTGGTGTACTGGCGTTTTTAAAATCATGCTTCATTCCAAAGTGTAGTTCCCCCCGACCCCCTTGTTTCTGAAGTGGCAGGATAAAATTGTTAGCCCTTTCGCACTCTTCCTTCTACTTAAAAAAAAGATGATGTATTTCTTCCCGCTCCTGTTATTTTTTTTTTCTGCCCTAGTGTTTTTACTCTAGTAGTTTTTCCCCTCTGCAAAACAAAGTGTGTGTGCGTGCGCGTGTATGTGTCTGTCTGTCTCCCTCTTCCCTGTCTTCTCTTTGCCAGTATGTCTGGGACATATTTTAATGCACGATATCCCATCCATTAAGCTGTGGTTGAATGCAGAGTGTGTGAGGACTTGGCAGCTTTCAGGTTGAAGAGGGGGCGGGGAAGCCCGTTTCGACTTTGACACAAGATGCCGAAGTGGCGTGATTGGAATTATTATTAGTGCTGTGAGCATGGCCATCTTCTCCTTTGGTTTGAAGAACTGCCACTGAACTTGAGACAGGACAGACAAGATCTCCAACGCCCCCCCCCCCCCCCCCAAGTACAGTAGCTGGCAGGGAAAAGGCGCCAAAATACACAAGATTAACTCTAACTTTCTTTGACAGGATCCTATAACACCATCCTTTGTAATTTTAACTTTCCAATGGGTGGGAAAAAGTTAACTTGTGAACCCATACTTGAGCAGACATTTAAATCAGCCCTAAAATGGAATAAATCCAGAAAGTCATACACGCATGCTTATGTGGTTAGGAAAGAATGCACATGTAAATAAGCAGGGTGCAAGCGTGTATCTGGGGAGTTCAAGATTTAATCAAAATCAGAATGAGTGTGACTTTTGAGTACATTTACTCTATGGGGCAGAGCACAGTGAGGCGAAGAAGCTGACCTTTAAGCAATCTAAGTAAAAACTGCAAAGAGTTGTGAAACACAAAACGTGTGGTTTCCAGTTTTACATTTGAGGTTTGATGTTTTCATTTAATGGTATGAGAGATGGAGAAAGCGCCAGTGCTGAAAAGTCCCTATTAAATCATATGTGGGCAAAGGTCAAGCACTCCAATTCACTGATACAATATACTGCAGATTCCTGCCTCACTGATGGGGAGCACAGGAAAAAGCGCTTGGGCAATAAAAGTATTAGAAGGGTAATTATTGTACGTGGTTGGGACTGCATTCTTGTGCACTGGGAAAAGATTTTTACTGGCCCTGATGAATTTTAAAGCTGAGTATTGTTGAAAGCTGTTTTAATAGGAAATTGATTAGCTGAGTGTTTCATACAATAAATGGTGACAGTTTCATTGTTTGATGTCCAAAATAAATTCTTTTTATTCTTTAGTAGACAGAGTCATCCGTTTAAGATGGTCAGACAGCAGCAACATAATTATGAGTGAATGTGATGTCATGAACATCTGTAACTTTGCTTTTGGAGCTTATGACATCACACAATTTGACAATATTACTGCTTTGGAACTTATTAACTTACTGTGTGTTGTAAAATTTTTTCAGATGTATTTCAGAGATAAAGTTTACTTAAAATATCAATATGTATTTTGTATCGGCCCAACGGTTTGTTTTCTATCATTGTAATCATGCAATTGTTGGCTAAATTTTATTTTGAAAGTTAAAACGAACAGTTGTGATATTATGATTGTTTTGGTTTTGAAACAGAAAGGCAGTTTTCGAGAAAAGAATTACAGAAAGGGATGCAGAAAGTTTACGTTGGTTTGCAGTGCACTTTCTACATTTCTTCATGAACAATATAAAGACAACTTAGCCATTTTGCATAAAAGCTTTCTAAACAGCTCATTAAAGCCAATTTTTTTTTCATGTCACAAAGGTACATGTAGATAGGAAACAAAAACCAACTTACACGTAGAAATAAAAGGATGGTATAGTTTTACTTTAAGTGTCAGCTATTTTGAAAAATGACAATAGCTCCAACTCTCACAGGCTCAGCAAAGAAGTTTGTGTGTGAAAGTGCCTGTAAGTTTTGAAGTATTGTGAGTGAACCAAGACAATTATTACTGTGATTTTCAAAGTTTAAAATAAATCATGCAAAAATTACAGGGCAACTGCTGACTTTGTAATCCCAGAAAGCAATGTCTTCAGAAGTTGGGAATCTCTGTTGATGAACTGGCCTCATTTCTGTACAGAAGTGAAAACCAGCTAAACTTAATGCTGGCCAGTCTACATACAGATTCAGTGGTGGTTTGAAAATGTGCCCGAAATGTAGGCACACTTAGCGGGACGGTGTTTTTTTTTAAAACAGTCCAGTACAGGCATTTCAGCAGTGACATTATTAACAGCGTCATTTTTCTCATTTAGTTTTGTCCTCAGGGGACACCGAACAGCTCCCGGAGGATGGAAAAAAAGTCCACAGTTATTTATTCATTTCAGTGAAAGGCAAAGCGCTGGCAATGGGGGGTGGGGAAGCTAACCGGTTGTGGATTTTGTAGTAGGGAAAAATTGCTACCCTAATTTGACAGTAGTAGTTTAAGGGCTGATAGAGCTGGGCATGATTTTGCAATTCCCATCAAGTGCAGGCAATTTCAGTACTTGTTGGTTGTTTATACATGTGCTGTTGAGTGGATTTTTGATGTTCTTGCTTGTGGATATAAAATTGTGTTTTCCAGGATACACATGTATGATTTTTGTGGTTCATTTGGAAGAAGAAAAGGTCCCTGGGCATGGTGTAGTGGATACTTGCAGTCTTGCAGGCCTGTTTCCTGGGGTCAGGAGGTCATCTGTCTCTTTTGTATTTAGTTTTAAAATATTGATATTGGCCATGCAGCCAGGGTGTGTGGAATTGTTGAGCCACCCCTCTAGTCACATGCAAGAGCTAAAAAAAAAAAAAAAAAAAAGTCATCGAGTGTATTGAAAATGACAGCTTTGTTAAGCTCCAAGAACTTTTCCCTAAACTACTCAAGATTCACACCCTGTCACTGAATTTCTTTAGAAAGGAGAAGATTAAAAGGAAATCAATATTGGAAGACCCTAGAGATGTTATGCTCCTCTCTGGAGGTCAGTGAAAGGCTCCAATTGGGTAATACTGCTTACTTTTTCAAATATACAACTGAGTTTTGAAAAATCCAGTCACTTGAAGAACAGACACTCCAGCACTTCTTGAAATTAAACTGTCAAACAAACAAACAAACAAACCTTTTCTCCTCTATAAGATGGCATGGCAGGGAATAGGTGATCTAGGGAGGAGGTCTTTAGGGATTCTGAAATATCAGATTTTCCTGTTGCTACAGAAAGTTTTCACTTCTTTCTTCCAGCCAGATTTTGGGGTGAATGAAATTGGTTTGTTTTAACTCTTTCAGTGAGTGTGAGAGAGAGAAGTTAGGAGAGGTTAAGTACTAGTCTAAAAAGTGTTTGGCCCACTTTGATAGCATCAGAAGCTTTTCAGAGATACTTTCAAACCACTCTTAATGCCATGGCACAGAAATGCTGGGTAAAAGGGAAAGTGGCTAAAATACTATATGTACTTTCTCACTTCCTCCTCTTTTTTTTCTACTTGGTGTTTGAAAGATGGGCGTTTCTGAAACCACAGACGGTGAAGTGTCCTGCTGAGAAGTCATGCTCTACACCCACCCCAGTCCCTCTTTACAAAAGGCTCTCTTAGAGTTCATCTTGAGAAGACTTGCAGTGACCCTGGTATTGGCTGCACAAGAAGCAGAGTTCTGGGGAGGGTGAGGTTGGGGGGATGTCAGCCATTTCACCCATGGTTCCAAGGCCTAAGAAGACAGTCAAAGCCATATCCACTGAGCACCCCATACTGAGCACCCGATGTCTCTGATGCTCATTTTTTCCTCCCTTTAAGTTTCCCCCTCCTTTCTTGTTTTCCTTTTTCTTGGAAAGAAATCAAATGCCCCACCACCAAGTATCCTCCATGCTCATCCATAAGTACCCTCCAGACAGGGAGAGGTTTGAACCCCTCAGTGATAGGCCTGAGAGGCCCCAGACATCTTTAGGTCTCGGGGGTCTTACCTGGGTCTGTCGCTGCTTCATCACCCCTGATGCTGCTGTAGCTTTTGTGGGCTCTTCTGTGTTAAGAGTTGTCTTTCTTTCTTCTTTTCTAAGCTCGTGAGAAACTTTTGGAGGCGACCTAGTCTGGGTGGCAAAAGGAAAGGATTTGTGTTGGTAAGGGAAACTAGGAAGGGAAGAGGGCTGGCGAAGTCTACAGACACTTGCCCAGGCCTCAGCACTGGGCCCCTTCTGCCAGGGGACAGCGGCTGGTTCTGGGATCTCTGGCTGAAACGGAGCACTTGCTGGGTGCCAAGATTTCACTGGGGGTGGCGTGGTGAGGAGGGAGGGAAGAAGAGAGGGAGGGAGAGAAAGAGAGATGGGCGCTCGATTTTTAAAGAGACCCCGAAATAATGGCTTCTGTGAGAGTCCAGGCATTCAAAGAGGTGTGTTCAAGGACAGGAGAGCATTCGTGCCAACGGGAATGTCTTTTATGGTAAATTAACCCCGGTTAAATTGAATATTTGTTCAAAGGGAAACTCCAGTAGTTAAAGCTGGTATTATCAGTAGCGCTTCCCTGCACCCACCCCCCACCTCCCAGACCTGGTAAGAGGGTGAGAAAAGGGATGCAGCAGAATGTGCAATACAAACTGATGTTTGGGGCTTTTTTTCTTTTTTTAAATCTAGGATGAGATTGCCTAAACATTTCTGAGAGAAATTAATATTTATTCGGATTAACCCGGGCTGTCACTTCATTTCTTTCATCGCTAAAGACTGTCAACTTTATTCTGGCTCTTCAAAAAGAAGAAATGACCCACACAAAAGAAATTAACGTTGTCAGAACCCGGACTAGGGATTTGCCTCCAGAGGAGCAGGGAGGCCGCTCCCAGTGGGGTGTGCCCTAAAGGGTTAACTTCGGGGGCGGGGGTGGGTTCTCTAAATTTCCCCGACTTTACCTGTCTTCCCAGAACCAAAGCTCCCCCCTCCACCCCTGGCCTCCTCGACTCCCCCTCCTTCCCCACCGCCTTTCTTCTTTAGGCTCTTGGTTTACGGAGGCTGCAGCTGGTGGACTTGGCAGGCTCGCCTCATTAAGAGCGCTCTTTGAAAACGGACTGTGTTTGAGCATTTCCCTAATGAGGACAGGACGGGGTTAAAAAGTGACCATTTCATGGTTGACTTGAACCTGCCTACTTTTCTTGATGTGTCGTTGTGAAATGCTTGATGTGGATAACTCCCACTCGGAGCAGGAAAAAGTCACTAGTTCCTTCAAGTCCGCTGGTGGGGGGGGGGGGGGCGTAAAGAAGGGGTGGCAAGAGCGGAGAAAACGAGACAGAGAAAGTTGCGGGGAAAAAATCGAGAGGAGGCAAGCGAGAAAAAGAGGAAAGGGGAATCAGAGGAGAACCTCCAAACAGCCCCAGAGCACAGCTGGAAGTGGGGGCGGCCCCGCCCCCGGGCTGGGGCCTTCGAGTCCCCTTCGGGGGCCCCCGAGCTAGGTAGACGCGTAGCCCGTGGCACTCACTTTTCCTCTCTCCATTGTCTGCACAGTCTTTGCTTCCACCTTTTCCCCACCCACCCCTGGCCGAAAACCGGAATTTGGGGGGCGGGGTGTGTGTGTGTGTGTGTGTTTTTGTGTGTGTGTGTGTGCGCGCGCGCGCGCGCAGAAAGTGCGAGGCAAAGCGCCGGCCTCCACATCTCCGAAATCAAGTTCATTCACTCGGGGCCCGCGGCTCGCGGCGGGGTGAGGGCGGGGCCTCGCGCGGGAGCGAGGCGGGCGCGGCGGCCTCTGCAGGGCTCCAGAGACACACGCACCCGTGCCCTGCCTGCACCCCGGCGGCGCGGGAGCCGCTTTCCGCCGGCGCCCCGGGCCCCGGGGAGGGGTGGGGATTGGGAGCGAGCCAGAGGAGCCGCGGGAGGAGGAGGACTAGGAGGAGGGCGCTGGAGGCGGCGGCGCAGCCCGATCCTCCCGCTCCGAGCGAGGCCACGTGCACCGGGCACCCCCAAGGGAGGGCGGCAAACCGCGGCGAGGCGCGCCGCTTGTGCGGAGCTGCCCCGGGATGCGGGCCCTTGCTTGGGAGACCCCGGATGGGCCCCGTTCCCACCCGCGCCGGCGTGCCCCAACTATCTTAAGTCCAAGTTCGTTCAGCCATCCCCCCGCCGTCTCCCCCTCCTCCTTTCAGCCGGCGGAATCGGCGGACCGCGCCCGCCCCGGGTGCGAGAGTCGGCGCCCCAGTCTGGGCCCCGGGGCGGCCTGGGTGTGAGGGAATTTTCCATTCGTTCCTTTCTCGGGCCCAGTTCGGCTCAGGGTTTCTTTCACTCGGAGATTCCCGCGGCTTAGAGTCCGCAGCGAGCACCGAAATACCTCTTTCCAGGGCGGGTTTTCGGGGTGTGTACGTGTTGGGGGAAGGGCGCGGGACTTGCCCAAAGGGCGGAATGATCATCTATTTAAAATTAAAAAAAAAAAAGTTGTGGTTCTATTGCAGTGGTATGAGAGCTTTAACAAATGAGTGAGAGAGAGAGGGAGAGAAGCAAGAGGAGGAGGAGGAAGGTGGGGGGCGGGGGGTGTGGAGAGGCTGGTGCAAAAGGAATGCGCGTTTGCAGGAGGAGGAGTAAAGCGATGATTGTGTAATTAAATAATAAAACAATCCTTAAGTCTGATTTGGAGAGAGCTCGAGCGGGGTCCAGAGGGTGGAACCGGTGAATTTTTCAACTTCCAAGTTTTGCAACGAAAGAAAGCGAGAGAGGGAGGGGAAAAAAAGAGCCCAGAGCAGAAAAGAGAGGAGTTTGGAGCCGAGCGGGAGAGCGGGATTTATCGTTTGGGATTTTTCAGGAGCGCGTTCCGATACCCCCGGGCTCTGGGCAGCCGCGGCAGCAGCAGCAGCCTCCTCGCTCGGCCGGGTCAGACGCGGGGAGAGGGTGGAACCGGTGAATTTTTCAACTTCCAAGTGCCCCCACCCCGGCCCTCTCCCGCGCGCGCCCCGCCACCCGCGCGCACTCGCTCACGCTCCCCCCTCGCGCACACACATGGTCGGCTCGCGGCAAAGTTTCGCCTGCGATCGCCACTCCGGGATCCTGCCGCAGTGCTTGGGGCTGTAACCTTGAACTTTCCCAGCGCGGTGACACATTCTCCTCGCTCTCCCTCCCGCCCTCTCTCCTGCGCCCCCCTCCCCGCCTTTTTTAAAAAAGCATTTCACCACCAACCACCACCCCAATCCGACCCACATCGAACCTTCGCGCACCCCCTAGCCCCCAACAACAACAACAACAACTGCAAAACAGAAAACAAATCCCCAAACCCAGGCGAAAAGCAGCCAGCACCGGCGGCGGCGGCGGCGGCCTCGGCGAGCACGGCCAGCGCGCTCGGACTGCAGGAGGGTTAAAAGTGTAGATTGGATTTCACCCCGGGAAATCTAGCACGCCGAGTGAACTTGAATCTTTGGCTATTTAAGGAGGACTGGGTTTGTTGTGAAGTTGCGGTGATCCAGCGCAGAGCCCTGTCCTGATTGATCGCATCGCGGGGCTCAGATGACTGTAAAATGAATAGATGAAATTCTTGCTTCTCGAAGATTTTCTTGGGCATCTCCGGGAAAGTGCGTTTTAAGGCGAAGTCATGATGTATTCTCCCATCTGTCTCACTCAGGTACATGTCTCAGTCGCTCTCTCGAGCTTTCTCTTTAGCCCGAAATGCCTTTGTTTTGTTGCTCTCGTCCGCGGACAACTAATGGTTCTAGTTAACCTCCGCACACCGGTGTAACCCAGCAGAAGAAGTGGTCCGGAGTTGCGGCGGGGTTTGCAGGGCGGCATCAGAGCCGGCGCGCGGCCCCTAGCTCACAGTCACCGTGCGCGCCCAGCCCGGCGCCCTGGGCACGGAGAGCGGGTGCCCGCGTGCTGCCAGGGCGGCTGGGCCGGGCGAGGCCGCCAGGGATGGGCAGGGCCCAGGCCCGCGAGAGCTAGCCCCCGTGCGGCCCCTGGAGTGCTTGCTGCGCCCCTGCCCAGGGTGCCTGCTGCCTCTTTTGGTTGCTTGCGCGCCGAGGTGGACTCCGGCTTTAGAGGAGCTTTGGGGGGCGGGGGGGACTGAGCCTTAATAAACAAGCAGTGAACTTGGGCGAGGGGACTCCAGTAGGAGTCCTTGTGGGCGCCTCTGGACTCCGCTGCAGGCAGTGGGCGGGAGACAAGCGAGTCGAAGGTTGTGGTCCGGGGACCCATTCCTTTGCTTAATTTGGGGATCTGAAACTCTAGTGCATCGCGATCCGCACTTTGAGGTTTCCAGTGACCACGCCACAAAGGCGATCTAGACGTGGACTCGAGTTAGTCGGTCGGGATGAAAGTTAAAGGACTTTTAAAACATGTTCATTTTGTGGAGACCTGTTCATTGACGATATTGGGGCGTAGGTTAGAAAGGAGTGCTGGAAAAGTAAGGTCATTTTCAAAAATTCACTTTGAAATTTGTCCTAAGATTTCAGGTACAGTGTTATGAAATAAAATACTGGCTTTATACTTTTACAAGAACACAATTTATATAATTTTAAACCGGTCGGTCAAATGGAAAAGTGGAGAGACCGAACAGACTTACCTGGGGGCGGCTTTCATCGCTGCCCGGCTAACTAAGCAACAGACGAACTAACTAAATATCTTAGCCTAGAGTTGTTATTTGAAGCAGTTTTTTAAACCTCTAAAGGTGTGGGATAGTTGACTGCAGCTTTTAGGAGGCTATGTCACGATTAGTAATTGATAACCATTTTCTTTGACAATGGCTTAAAAACTATAAACAGTTTAAGAAGTGTCCCCTAGTCTTAGGTGTGTTACAAGTTTTAAAAAATCCAGTATCATGATGATGCATTTTTGTAATGGACAAATGATTAAGATTTCAATTGTATGACAATTAGAAGCTATTGTGATTCAGAAGGACTGAGGCATTCATAAATTGTGAATGAAGATGAAAACAATGATAAGGCTTATTCAGTGATTGGATACAGTCCTGTAGCTTTTTGGCTGACACATTTTTTATTGTTTATATTTTGTTTGGCATCTGAGTATGATTAACTTAGATATGGCTATTTTCAGCAAATAAACGTGCACTTTAATTTGACAAAACTGGAAAAAATGAGTTGCTGACCTATTTGTATTTTTAAGGCTGTGAATAATGGCCAATAAATATGGTGATGAAACTGTTTCAGGTATAACGAATTGCTTTCAGTTGCAAAAGTTACCTTTCATATTACCCATCAGCAGGATTTTTTCCTCTTTCTGGTAAACCACATCCATTTGATATTATTTTTACATTGAGGCGTAGTTCAAATAAAACAAATTGAGGTAAGCTTTTCAGGTGCAAAGTGCTGCACTTTTGCTCTCACCTGTAAATGATTGTTTTTCTGTATTGGTTCATATTTCCAGCATCGAATTTTCAGAATCATTGCGAGCAATTACATTGCATTTTTGGTTTCCTCTAGATATGAATCAAAAAGTCACTAGCTTTATCTAAATTTGTGTAAGTTAAAAATAATATTGTAGCATCGTGACATATGGAATATTAGGAGCATATACAATATAGTCATTCAACTATCCCATTAGTATTCAAGGATACATACTTACTAACACTAATTCATGATGACTGATCTTCTCTACTGTTTTAATAATGTAAATCTAGGTTGACATATTGAAACTGTTTTGGGGATTTAAGGCCTAGACTAGAAGAAAAAATTTTAGCTTTAGAATTCTCCCTTTAGTATCTGTGTGACTTTATAGCTAGTGTAAGGTGTTGCAGAAGTAATCTTAACAATGTTGCTTTGATATCAGACCAATAGTTTAGTTTTGTATTACAGGAACTTAATAGCTGTAGCAGAACATTTTTCAGGATTATGTAAATACAAAATAGAGAAACATTCTTAATTGATTGAAAACTTTGCAAAGTGCTTTCGTTGTTGCAATAAGATATCTAGGCTTTAGAAAGAAGTTTCAAAAGAGG